GTTTTTCAAGTGAATGTGTTAGTTTTAATTTGTTTTTCAAGTGAAAGTATTAGTTTTAATTTGTTTTTCAAGTGAATGTGTTAGTTTTAATTGTTTTTCAAGTGAATGTGTTAGTTTTAATTGTTTTCAAGTGAATGTGTTAGTTTAATTGTTTTTCAAGTGAATGTGTTAGTTTTAATTATTTTTCAAGTGAATGTGTTAGTTTTAACTTATTTTTCAAGTGAATGTGTATGTTATACAACTCTACATTAAGTATGAATTCCTACAATTTAGTGGTCACTGATGTACTTATAGTTTCTAGATTTATTATTCAATACTTATATAGAAGGATGTTCATGATCCGTGGTGTCTGTGCAAGAGGCCTTACAGTCCTTTTTTTTCGTCATATGACAGCCCTAGTTATATATCATTGCGCTCCAGCATTTTTTCCATAACAGGAGTTTTTTGTCCCCTTTTGTCTCATCTTCATGCGCTTCCGAAATCTGTCATCGTTCGCGGACGAAGACTTTTGAGGACCTGTTTGAACAGATTATACACAATAAAGTCCATCGGAGATATTTGCTAATGATATACCATAGCATGAGTTTTGGTTTATACTCGCATCTTGTGGAGGAACTGGCATGCTGATTTGGACATCTGGCTGGATGCTTTGTCAAAAGAGAATCTTAACTTATTGGCATCTAATCCGTAAAAAGATGGTATTTCGTCGCAGTATGGTGATGTCAGCACGATAATTTTCTTATCATTCGTCTCGACTTTCCGCTGTTTAATTTACCATTATAACTGTTACCTGCAATCGCCATAAATACCTCGAAAAATTTCGCAACATCCTTTAATGTTTTGAAATGTTGTATCACTAACAGACCCAAATTCGTGTGAGTTATCCTACTTACATTTCCAAGGGTAATTCCTACTTTAACTGAAATGAAGTGAATACTGTGGGATATGTGAATTTTCTTCACTGTCTCTGCTGAGTGACTGGTAGCCGGTAGTGGACTAGCCTAATTTTGCCTATGAAACCTCATTTTCTTTTGCTTTATCAACACAGTCAAACACTGCGGATGTCTTTTCTTCGAAACATTAAAATTCCACTCCGTGTCTGCTTTTATAATTGCTAAATAGAAGAACTTAGTGTCGAAATCTTCTGCAATGTAATCTTCCAGAAGAAGTAAATTTTAGGCGATACCTATAATTGCATATCCACACTACAACTGAATTACGACAAGAAGGTCAGGGATTGTAATCTGTGCAGTCATCATAGATAGAAAACAACCCTCTACAGAACTGTTTATAATCACTGATATCAAAGATCTTCCTTGTAAAAATCCCTACATTTTTGAAATAATTTTTGCACTTATGTTTTTTCATAGTAATGCCCCATTATTGCAGTGTTGTTTAAAATCTTGCAGTGTCTTCTAGAAACTAGGCTCGAGCGTAGCACGTTGGTTAGCCTATCGGAGTCCACGAAAATCCGAGGTTCCCGATTTCGAGGCGTGCTGCTACCAAACGCGATTCTCACTTTCAGTTGTGTTGTGTTATAAGAGTAATAGTCAGTCCCGTTAATCGATTCAGAGTAGCCACGTCAGGAGATGGATGACATTGAATGGCTGCTTTCCCTCTGGTACGTAGTTACAAATATGGGAAGGTTATGCCTGAATCATAAGATATGCATAAGGTGTTGTTCGGGTGAACACACACACACAAACCAACCAACTCATAGTAAACTTACTATTTGACTCTTTGTTTTTAAAAGCTGATTGTGATAGTCCATTGATTCAGTATATGTATTAAGTAAGTAGAGGTTATAGATTAATCACGTGGTTAATAAAAAATTCGAGTGTACTATAATACTACGGAAAGTATCATTAACACAATTGTTGTAAAAAACGTTGTTTTTGTATACTTCGTCTACAATATGGTTGGTTCCCAGTGGCACAGCGGTATGTCTGCGGACTTACATCGCTAGAAACCGGGTTTCGATATCTGTGGTGGGCAGAGCACAGATAGCTCTTGTGTAGCTTTGTGCATAATTAAAAACAAACAAACAAAGCAAACAAACAATATGGTTGGGAAAACACTTTTATAAGGGCTCGTTTGATACACGTATGGTGAAATGTAAATCAAAGAAAACACTTAAAAATGTTCACCGACAGAATCTTTTATAAAAACAGTCTTACCATAAGTGACATGACAATTGGATTACAAAATTATAATATTTTTAGATTTATTTTTTAATGAGGTTGCTTTAGTCGTATTATTCACGTCGAGTGAAAGAGGACAGACGGAAATTGTTTCGCATTGTATTTCTCAAACGGTGGGTCGCGTCCCCCTTGGAAGGTGAGTAGGCTTCCGGGGGGTGGGGGGTGGGGAGTACGAGCTGTCTGCGATCAGTCAAAAATTTTCAATCCTCAAGAAGTCTGAGAGGTGCACATATCACCTTTGTTATTAACTATGACGAAATGGTTTTTCATCCTTGTAGAGGAAATGGGGGAGGTAGGGAGGTCGCGACGACCAAAACCAGGACGTGGGAGTCGTCTGGCAAATCCGGCTGAGAAACACTGCCCTAGAATTACATTTCCTTGCTTAATATTGTCATAAGCTACATTTTGTAATGCGACAACTTAGATGTTAGCTAGAGGGCGCATGACATAAAGATCGAAAAGTATAGTTATTTGGGCCTCGAAAGTTTTAAAAAATGATATGTTAAATTTTCGTACGTTTAAGGAGTAGGTAATAAATACGAGGGAGAGTGAAACATAATAGACTTGTTTCTAGTTAGTATGTTGATCAGTCAGACAGTGTTTTTGTTTCAGCTAGCGGTGAATCTGTCAGTGTTTTCAGTTACTTGATCAATCAGTCGTGAAGATGTACAATTAAGCGTATTTTACGTTAGTGTAGTACAGTTAGCGTAGTTGTAAACGAGGCCTTCAATATACAAGTGTACAAGCTTGTTGAAACGTTAAGAAATACAGAAATTAATATGTTACTGTTACGTGGATTGGCACCAGAAAATTTAAAAGAACCAACCAAAGAATGAACAACGTAACAACAATATAATACATGCTAAAACTGGTGTTTTTCACGTTGTGTGAGAAACATTAGATGTAAATTTTGTTATTTTACATTAGATTATAGGTATAAGTTTTATTCTGCTACGAGATGATAGACTTGGGTTTTATCAATTTATTTTGAAAACATTGAACTTAGATTTCTTTGAATTATATGGCAGACTTTAGACAAAGCTTACATCATTGTGATCGTAAAGGTATTAGGTCCTGATTTCATAATGAATTGATATTAAGCAAATTTCTGACGTTTCGTGATAGGCATTTGGAAAAATATGTCTTCGTGCTACCCTAAATACAATATGTCTGGATTCCATCTTATCATCTAATACAATTTGAACCTGTAATTCTAAGGTCTAGATTTTATTATGTTATCTGTGATACCTAAAAATTATATTTCAACATGCTGTCTGATATAGGCCTTGGCTTCGTTGTACTATCTGATATACTTACGGCTTTTCAGTGTTATATGTATTTTTTAATCGAGGTTTATTTTTAGCTGCTTTATCATTTTACTTAGATATATTACAATCGGGTTTTCGGAGATTTAAATCAGTAACCCTGCTCGTAGTTTATTATGTTAGGCCTATATTTCATCTCGTTGTCCGATATGTTTTAGGCCTAGGTTTTAACAAGCTATCTTATTGACTTTAGGCCTAGACTTCGTCATGCTAGCTGACAAATGCAGGCTTCCTAAGACTTGATTTTTATTGTTTTGAAATGATTTAGGACACATTTATCATTGTCTGTACACTTAAAGATTAAGAAATCATTTCTAATTTTGAATGTTAGCGAGATTTATTTATTTATTATCTTTTTTTTTTTGCCAGCAAACATTTTCTTTGTGTAAAACATATGGTACGATTATTTCTCATTCTGTTATACTAAAACTTCGCTAACGTGAATTGAAAGAGGTGAACACTGTAACATTGAAAATAGAACATATACAACTCTCTTTAATATATATTTATTTATTTAAACGGAAATATTAAAATATTTAGTAATATTCAGTTTCTAACGAATGTTTCTTTCCTGACAGCCAGCTGCGCAAAGTGCCATTCAGGACGATCACATTACATTCTACGTCCTTCTAGCAGGCGTGGCGGGAGGTTTGGTATTAGCTGTCGCCGTGATGGTGTGTTGTAAGCTCTGCCTCCGAAAGAAAAAGCCTTTGACAAGGTGAAGAGTTTAATTACAATTACATATTCAAAGTTATAAGGTATTTAAAATTTATAATGTATTTTTCTGTGTTTAAAAGGAGAATATAGATGTAGAACGTGAGTAATTTTCACGTTCGCTCAAGATGTGCATCTGTGTGTGCAGGCTGTGCGCTAATTTCGATTCAAATAACACTTCTGAGATTAACTTATTAAATTTTCTTCGAAAATTAAATTTCCCGGTATTTCAATTTCTTCATGAATGTATTAAAATCAATTTCCAGAACTTTTACACAAATATAGGCTACAGTTCACTAAACACAAATTACAAACTAAACTACTTCTATATATTAATCAACATTTGAAATTTAATAAAACAAAAACGCTTGAAAAAAAAATGCTGTTAGAATTTTACATATGTTTAAAAATGTCCTATCTGACATGATTCCAGAATACCTAAAATTAAAAGCAAAATATTATCCAGGACAATATTATTGTAATTCAAAAAAATAAGTATATCATAGAAAAGAACACATTTTACAGTTTACCAAACAGGCTCGCCCTTTCAGCTGTGGGGGCGTTATAAGTGTCAGTCAATCCCACTATTTCCGTTGGTAAAAGAGTAGCCCAACAGTTAGCGGTGGGTGGGAATTACTAGCTGCCTTCCCCGAATCTTTCACTGCTAAATTAGGGACAAATAGCCCTCGTGTAGCTTTGCGCGAAATTCAAAACAAACAAACAAAACAATTTTTTTAAAATGAAAATAAAAAACTTCTGAGAAAATCCCTGTATAGGCTTAGTTGTTCGGTAAAATGTAATTTGATATAAAAAATTAAGTAACTTCTTTAATTATTTGACACTAAAATATTATAGTTTATTGGAATAAAAGCCAGTTATTAAAAGGTTCATTTTTTGTTGTTTTTCTGTAGATAAAATAAATGCGAAAATAAAATATTGCTAAGTTCTTGCTACCTAGCTTTTTTTTCCGAAGATGTGATACGATTGCTTGCAGATTATTTTGAGATAGAAGTGTTACTTAGACCTAAAGTTAGCTTTTTCAATGATTTTCTTTTTTTTGTAGTTTTAAACGGTCTACTTCGTGTGCAAGAAATGAGTGTGCGTTTTTCGTTTTAACGCAGTCAAATATTTATAGCTTTTATTGATTCAACTATCGTGAAATATCAGAGTTCACAATTAAGAAACCTACATTAGAAGCCTCTCAAATTTTAAATAACATGGAATTGTGTAACGATCATGTTGTTGATGAGTAAAGAAATAATTGTTTTATATAACACAGATAAAAAAAAACAGTGTTGAAACTTTACTGTTAATAAAAAATAAACTATGGTAAGTAAGATTAGTTTTGAACTACTTCTTGTCTAATTTTCTTTTGTCGTGGCTTTTGTATTTTAATATGCCTTTTCTCAGACTTGCGGTAATTAAATTGTACTGAGCTGGTGGTGTTAAATCGAAACGATGATGTCCCGGTCCCCATCATTATAAACTCAAATTGAATCCTGGAGTAAATAATGTTTGTTTGTTTGTAATTAAGCACAAAGCTACACAATGGGCTATCTGTGCTCTGCCCACCACGGATATCGAAACCCGGATTCTAGCGTTATAAGTCCGCAGACATTCCGCTGTGCCACTGGGGGGCGGAGTTAATAATACCAATATACTCAAGTCTAGCGCATTCACAACTAGTTAGTACTTGTCATGGTCACAAGAGTTAGAACCATCTAAACTAGGACGAAACTCAAAACTTGGATTGCTTCTAGTTTTAACCACAACTAGTTAGTACTTCTCTCATGTTCACAAAAGTTAGAACCATCTAAACTAGGATGAAACTCAAAACTTGGGTTACTTCTAGTTGTAACCACAACTAGTTAGTACTTGTCATGTTTACAAGAGTTACAACCATCTAAACTAGGACAAAACTCAAATCTTGGGTTGCTTCTAGTTGTAACCACAACTAGTTAGCACTTCTCTCATGTTCACAGGAGTTACAACCATCTAAACTAGGATATTATAAGCCATTACTGTTTTAAATTTCAATAACAAACAAACAAAAGCCTATATAGAAAAGGAGTTTGGTGGTTAAAAATTGTAAGGTATTTTGGGCACTGACGAATTATACCGAATATATTGGAACTACTTTATATAATCTTAACTTTTTTTTACATTTATTTCTTATATATGACTAGCATAAAATACCCGCGCTTCGCTACAAAGCTCCTAATTATTCACAGAGGTTGCAATTTACCAACAAAGCTCTACTATACCGAATAGCTACACTTTATCAAGAACAAGCCCGTTATGACATCTGCTTGTAGAACCTGAGCACGTGTGTCACGTTAGCTTGTGAGTGGGGGATGTTACACAGTTTCAAATATGGCGCCCTCGGAATCCAGAATGGAACGAGGAACACAAAAGAGAATGCAAGACGGTTTTAGCAACCCTGAAAACCTACTCCTAAACCCTCATCATGCCTGCATGACCTTCCAGGCTTATTTCAGTCTCCTTACCAACGCCACACAGATAAGGACAACCCTCTACCAGACCGAGTCCGCCTGCCCATTTTTCTCCTATTAGTTCCAAAGCTGTGAGAAGACAAACAAAGAAACAAACATACGACATGGACTAATATAGGATTTTACATTAATATTACATATCCTTTGTACCTTTCAGGCAGCATGTGGTTTTTAATCGGAGTTCAGAGCGTCAGCATACGAGGGCGCGCAAGTATCATAGCCTCGACTCCAGTGTCAG